TGCCACCCCTAGCCTCAATAATATCTTCGACCATCCACGGCCGTGAAACGCTTGATCATATAGTGCATCTCCCCATGCATGCTCATACAGACTCTATGTGACCATCATTGCACCACGCTAAAACATGTGATTCATTACTTAGAATCAGAATAATTACAATTTTAATTGTTAATTTTTTAATCAATGAGTGTAATTCATTGTTTTTTTCTTTAAAAATAAAATCATATACTTTAAAGAAGTCAAATCCTTTAATAATATATTAATGTATAATTTTTGTTTATATAAAATGTTATTTATATACACTACTCCATAACAACTGATATTCATAAAATTCTCAAAACAAGTGCTTCGTTTAAAGTATACCTCTACATATCTTTAAATTAGTCGATTATTTAATATTGAACAAAAATGTTTCTCCTTTTAAATGGCACAACTTGTGTCATTTCACTCTCACAAAGATGTGAGATTCACACTTTTAATTTTTTTGTCCATTTTCTCTTCTTTATAATCTATCTCTTTCTTTCACTGAAAATGACGTAATTTTATATACTTTAAAATGACACACACTTTTTTCTTTAATGTAATATAATATTTTTGTCTCTCTTTTTAATTTCACTTTAATCTTCTTGCAGGACAAAATATCCAAGATTAAGTATGTTTTCGTTATTTTTGAATAATTACAAATAAATTAGAGATATAGGTTAACTGTTTGTACTAAGAAACTTATTAAACACCATTTTAAGTCAACTATTACGTTTTCTTCTTGAATAGAAAATGCTACTCAACAAGAATAGCTTACACATACCACTGTTGTCAAACCTGGCCCGACCCGGTCGGGTTGACCCGGAACCCGGTGAACCGGTCATCAGACCGGTGCGGGTTAAGCATTGGACCGGTCATGCATCGACCCGGTCAAACCCGGTCAAAATCCGGACAAACCCGGTGACCCGTTGACCCAATGACCCGGTCGGGTCATGCATTTAAAAAAAAAAAAAACCAAAATTGTTTCATCTTATTAAAAAAATATAAAACTCATTTTAACAACTTTTTATAATTTTATTTGCAAGTATACTCTTCTACAATGACCTTTTAGTTCCCAATACTAAAGCAATTTGTGGAATAATAAATTAGAGAATGTGAAATATGTCATTTTAATGTAGTTGAATTTGAAAAATATGAGTTCAATGTGATTGAGAGGTACGTTTATGGGATTCTGAGTTGCCATTTAAATTGACATAGTAATAGCATGCAATTTTATTTATTTATGCTTCATTTTTTTAACTTATTTAGTGAACCTTGTTTAATTTATTTTAGATATGAAAGATATAATTAAATTTATATGTTTATATTTATATATATTTTTATATATCTATATATATTCGGGTCAACCGGTCTGACCAGTGACCCAGTACCCCGACCGGGTCGATGCCCGGGTCGGGTTTAACAACACTGACACATACCACCATAATGCGACAAAGTCCCGAGGTTGGTTTTACATAAAGGTTAGGTGATCCGTGAGATTGGTCGGTCCCTCACAACAAATACAGCGACCACACATAATCCCTAGTCCTATGTTGATCGATGGACCCTTCCTGTTACCTTTAATAGTGTCAACTTTGTTTTGAGTCTTTTGACTTTTAATCCCACTCTGATACGCATGTCATGTAATGAGTATATTTTAGCAATTTAGTTAGTGGCATGAGACAAATTCCTAATAATTGGTTTTTTTGCACAACGTTGAGTTTTCTATAAGTAAGGAACCTTGGGATCCGATGAACTCAAATATCACATTAACTAGATAATAATCACCCAAGCCACCCTATACATCTACCTTTCACATTTCTTCTTGTAGGGTGTAGTTTATTGGCTCAATGCTTTTATAGATATAATGATTGTATAAACTTTCCGACATTGGTGCTTTTGAAGAAAAGTCAATTATCACTTTTATTTTATTTTAATTAATTTTTGAAAAATATTAATTAAGTATTTGAATTAAATCACAAAACTACTTGATTATTGTCACTCTTATGTACATTAATTTATAATTTTAATTAACAATTATCATAATTAGTTTTAGTCATAAATTATATCCGAATTTTGGCGTTAATTTTTTAAACCAATTTATAAAACTAAACATTATATTAATAGCAAACTAAAAAATATAATTGGTCTTTACTAAAAGATGTCAATTGATTTGACGTAAGTGAACACATTTTTTTAAAATTAAATGAAATAATGAAGCATACTATTAATAAATAGATAGAATAATATTATATTCAATAAAAAAAGTGCGTTTAGTCTTAACATTTAAATCAAAAAGAATTTTTTTTTTGTATACACAATCAAAAAGATAAAATAACAACTTTTATAAAATAAGAAAATAATGTGGTTTATACAAAATACTAAAACTATCTTCATAAAAATATCTATTCTTACAAAAGACCAAACCTTTCTTTGACTTTGGTGTTGAAATTTATAAGTCTATGTTTATATTATTAAACAATAAAAATTGACATATTTATATGTATAACATTCTTTATCAAAATATTTTATAATATTTAATTAAAAATAGTTACATTTTCCTGTGTATAAGAAGTCGGTTATTCTAAAATTTATTTAATTATTATGATTTTTTTATAAATTTTTTTAACTTGTAACTCAATGCTACTTTTTTAAAAGTAAATGTTATTTTATTTTGTTTCAAACTTCCATGTACTTGAGGCATTTTAAAAAAATGTACATAGTTAATTTTTTTAATTTAAAAAATATTTTTTTCTCATCTTATTTTATATAAAATTTATCAGTTGTTTTTTTAATCTCAATTTAAAGATCAGAATCAACTCTTATTTATTGATTAAATGAAGCATTTGACTCAATTATTAACAGACTCTTTTTATTAATATCTTTATTTCGTCTCAATTATTTAGTAAATAACAATTTAAAAAATAAAAAAGATTGACAATAAAGAAATACAGGTATCTTCAAGGATTTCCATATATTTTTCTTCATAAGCTTTCCTATAACAATCCATGAATTAAATTCACGAGTTGTCAAATTTTTCAGATTCCACAAGTATGATGCGTAAAGAAAGAGTACATGGTGAATGCCTGAATGGGATTTCCTAGAAATTGATACTAGTGGATGTACTTCATATAGCATGAGACATAAAAAATGTGGAAATCCGTAAGTATTGTTTACAAGAACAAGTGCTCTACGAAGCCGAGCGCCGGCACAGCTGGTAGTGAACTGTGCCCCAATGATAGGGTTGTGTATTTGATTTTTGATAGACGTTTTTTTGGATCGGAGGTAATATTTTTGCACTTTAAATTTCAATTGTGGATTAGTCTTATTTTTTTTTTTTCGAATAACAACTGTCCAATACATCTGCTGCATCAATAAAAGTTAGATTTAATGACTATACTCCAATAAGAAACTAGCTCTAGTGACTAAATTTCGAGGGCAAAGTGGTTAAAAAAAGTTTAATGAAGATACATCCATATTAATATTAAAAAAAAAAAAACCAGATCTCTAGGAGTGCTTATTCAAGAAAATAAGTTGTGACTCATCATTTTGGATATATCGATGAAAATTGTACATATAACTTAGGATTATGTTTATCTTATTTTATATGAGATAAACAACTTTTTTATACTCATAAAAAGGTATTAGATCTCACCACTCTTTTTTCTCTTTCCTTTTACCTGTGGTAAGTCCCACTTATAATTTTATTTCTACAATATGAAGTAACTTTTTTTCTACAACATAAAAAAAATATTTTCCTGTGACTTAGAGCCTGTTTGGATTCTCTTATTTTAAAGTTAGAAGCTACTTATAAGCTAAAGCTAAAAAAAAGAGCTTAAAAAAATAAGCTAAAAGCTGTTTGGAAATTACATAAAAAATTTAGCTTAAAAATTAATTAAAAACACATATTTCAATAAAATTATCTCTCTTTTTTTCTTTATCACTCTTCGTTTTAAAAAAAAACACACAATTCAAGAAAAATAGATAAGAGCTTAAAAAAAAGCTCCTCCTAAGAGCTTTTAATTTTCAGCTTTTTTCTTCGTTATAAAAAAAAAAATTTTCGTTATAAGAGCTTTTCTCAAAACCTGATTGACCTAGCTTATGCTTATAAGTAACTTTTTTTTTTTTTTTTTTTTGATAACATTATAAGTAGCTTTTAACTTAAAAATAAAAAGGATCGAAAACTATTCAAGTTGTACACCTCTAAACTAATCCTAGGTGCTTAAGTTGTGACTTATGAGGCTGAGCCTATTTTATAGCCAGTTTTCTTTGTGAAAGGGGATACACACACACAGGACACAAGGGTGGCTATAGGCATTGGTGCAGTCTGCAGAGTGGCTATGTGGGAGTGGAGGGAGCATGAACATTGAAAGGACAAAAGGGGTTTGTGTTGTGTTGTGGTGTGGTCCAGGGTGGGTATGGTATTGGTAGGTGTGGTTTCACCTGCTCTTAACTGTTTCCAATGCAAGTCAGACTCTAATCAGGCAAAGCTCCTTCCTTTTCTGCTTGTGCCCCCACCCCCACCCCTTGATAAAGAAATCACACCAAAAACTTGTCTCTTTTGTGGTTTCACTCCAAACACTAACACAAAAAATCCACGTCCCTATTTCATATCTCCAAATGCTGTCATATTTCAACTCTCATTTGTTGGCTCTCTTGATTTCTTGTTCCCAATAGGGTAGGTTGGGGCTGCTCACCTTCCTTTTGTCAGATTCTCTTGCCTGTACTTCAGTATCACAAAGCCTGACATAAAGGTTTTACAAGGGAAGAATAAATCACCCATTTAACACACTACCCATATGGCCGAAAATAAAGAGAGAGCAAATGAGAAGAATACAGAATCGGACAACCTTAATCAATCCCTTTGCTAAACTTTCTTTTGTTACTCTCCTTTGTTCTTTATTGCTCATGTAACTCTTAACCAAAAAAATACCACCTTTTGATAAGTTTCTCTTTTTCATGTTCTTTTTCTGTTCAAGATGAAGACTATAATGGCAGCCAAATCCCCTCATGACTCTTCATTCTCCTTCTCTAGGAGGTATTTCCATTGGAAAAAGAAGGCTTTGGATGGGGATGATGAGGAAGAAATCCTGAACATAAGTTCTTCCTCACATTTCCATGAGGATGAAGAGAAAGAAGAGGATCATCATCACCTCAGGATCCAAATGCCACCAGAACTTGGTGGCTTTTTGCCAGTGGAAAAGAAGAAGCATTCAAAGTCCAAGTTCAGGTCAGCTCTCACTGTGTTCAGAAAGAGTCGTTCACTTCACAGCTCTGGCTTAGGCACACGTGTGGTTGGTACCCTTTTTGGCTACCGTCGTGGGCATGTCCATTTTGCATTCCAAGAGGACCCCAAGTTGAGCCCTGCATTCTTGATCGAGCTAGCAACACCAACAAGTGTTTTGGTCAAGGAAATGGCTTCTGGGTTGGTCAGAATTGCCTTGGAGTGTGAGAAGAAGACAGGGACCAAGGGTGTGAGGTTGTTAGAGGAACCCCTTTGGAGGACTTATTGCAATGGAAGGAAATGTGGGTATGCAAATAGGCGTGAGTGTGGGCCAGAGGAGTGGAAGATATTGAAGGCAGTGGAACCTATTTCAATGGGTGCTGGTGTGTTACCAATGCCAGGTGGTGGGAATGGAGCTGAGTCCGAAGGTGAACTCATGTACATGAGAGCCAAGTATGAGAGGGTTGTGGGGTCTAAGGACTCTGAAGCCTTCTACATGATGAACCCAGATGGTAGTGGGGGTCCTGAGCTCAGCATTTACTTGCTTAGAGTTTAACTTAAGCCATATTGTGTTGGTGCTTCTATTTATAGCTTATGTAATTTTGATTAATATGTTTGGCATTGATGTGTAAAGAAGGGTGATGGACTAAGTAATTTCCCAGTTTGCTGCCTTTATTGAATTTTTGAAACTAGGTTGGGGGTATGGGGATTTTGAAAGTGGCTTTACAGGTAAGTAGTAGTGAGTGAAGTGATTGGATTCCAATGAAGTTGTATGATCTCTTTCATTTTGGAATGCAGAAGATAAATGAAGATGCAGAGAAATTTGGTTCTTCAAAATTTCAGCAAAACGATAGGGCTGCATTATTTTGGCAATACAACTTTTCTATCTTTTTTTCTTTTTTTTTTTGGATAAACCACATGAAGAAACTGATTAAAGTAGATGTTACTTGGTAGCTTTGAGTGAGACACACTTCATTGATAAGCAAGAAAGAAACCGATTAATCAATATCTCCGTTGCTCACAGCACAAGATTAAACTATCAGGAAACATTAATTCTAGCTTGGATTTTAGTGTCTAGTTTTTGATAAACCACTGATATGTAAAGAGTATATATGGACCATAAAATATTCCAATTTGTTGTCTACTTGTGTCTATTTTGGGGATTGCTGGTTTGGTGGTTGCGGCTAAGAAGATTGCGTAGTTGAAAACTGCTTTATAAGTAGATTTTGGATTTTCTTGCCATGAAATAATTATTTTTCCTGTATGAGTTTATCAGAGTTTTAGGGTGCATTACTATATGAGTTTAAATCTGATTCTTAGATAATAAGATATTTAATTTCAGTAAAAACAAATTTACTTTGTAATTCAGGATTAAATATGGAAGCAACTTACTATTTTAGGCATAACTCAAACTAAAAGAACAAAGCTTGTTTAGCTCTGAAGGGGTCTAGTTTGGCCCAAAGGATTAGAAACGAGTGGCTTTTGGTAGAGCATAGCCCTCCTTGAGAGTCTCAGTGGCCCTAAAAGGATTCAAAAGACTGAGAAATTGAGGGCCTCTTGGTCTTGTTTAGTCTATGTCATCCTCAGTATTGTTTGCCCCGTATATATTGGCCCAACATAGCAAGCAACTCCTCCCAATAAGAATTGTACTAATAATTTCCTATTAAAAAATAATCACCTGCTATGTTTAGATATTAATTATAATTCAAACACATGAAACTACTAGAAAACTTATTAAATAATCTTTAAATTAAAAAAATGGTCACTAGCAACGGTTATTAGCACTCCCGAATCTCCTTTAGTAGATTTGAAATAAAAGGGTATTTGAAATATTGTTGAATTGTAAATAATCTGTACAAAGGGTTCTCTATTTATAGAGAATACTTGACCTAATTTTGACCTAATGGGCTTGACCCAATACAACAAATAAATGACTAAATAATTATTATTTACAACACTCCCCCTCAAGCTGAGGAATAAATATTTATCATTCCCAGCTTGCTAGTAAGTTCTTGAAATCTGTCTGAAGGAAGCCCCTTTGTTAATAGATCAGCTAATTGACGCCCAGTGGGAATGTATGGAGTGGTAATCAACCCGCTATCAAGTTTCTCTTTGATGAAATGGCGGTCGACCTCAATATGTTTAGTCGGATCATGTTGAACTGGATTATGAGTTATACAAATAGCAGACTTATTATCACATAGCAGCTTCATAGGTCCCTCACATTTTATTTTGAGATCATCAAGTACAATTTTCAGCCACAGTAACTCACAAATGCCTTGAGCCATAGCTCGAAATTCAGCTTCTGCACTTGATCTGGCAACCACATCTTGTTTCTTACTTCTCCATGTCACCAAGTTACCGCAAAGAAACATGCAATAACCAGTGGTAGAATGACGGTCAGTCACGGATCCAGCATAATCAGCATCTGTGTAGACTTCTAAAGATAGATTGCCATCACGTTAGAATAACAATCCTTTACCAGGAGTACCTTTAAGATACTGAAGAATTCTCTCTACTGCCTGCATGTGTTTTTCCTTTAGATCGTGCATAAACTGACTGACAACACTAACAACATAAGCTAGGTCTGGTCTAGTATGGGCCAGATATATCAATTTCCCAACTAGCCGTTGATATTGTCCTTTATCAACTGGAGGACTCTCTTCTTCATAGCCCATCTTGCGATTCTGCTCAATAGGAGTATTAGAGGGTTTACACCCGAGCTTTCCTGCTTCTTTGAGAAGATCCAAAACATATTTCCTCTGGCTGATAAAAATTCCTTTGCTTGAATGAGCTACTTCTATCCCTAGGAAATATCTCAGTTTCCCAAGGTCTTTGATTTCAAACTCAGAGGCAAGCCGTGTTTGCAGAATCTGTCTCTCCACAAAATCATCACCTGTGATAATAATATCATCAACATATACAAGGAGCACAATAAGCTTTCCATTTTGGGAGTGCTTGAAGAAAAGAGTGTGATCTCCTTGACTCTGTCTGTATCCTAAGGTCATCATAACCTTAGTAAACCTTCCAAACCAAGCACGAGGTGACTGCTTCAATCCATACAAGGCATTTTTTAATCTACAAACTTTATTTTCCCCCTTCACAGAATCAAAACCAGGTGGGATTTCCATGTAGACTTCTTCTTCTAACTCACCATTGAGGAAAGCATTTTTCACATCAAATTGATTTATATCCCAATTGTAATGGGCAGCAAGGGATAACAAGATTCTCACTGTATTCATCTTTGCAACTGGAGCAAATGTTTCTTCATAATCAATGCCATAGGTTTGAGTGTAACCTTTGGCCACTAATCGAGCCTTGTATCTCTCAAGAGTGCCATCAGAATTATATTTCAGGGCATAAACCCACCTGCACCCTGCTGCTTTCTTTCCGTTGGGTCTATCAATAACCTCCCATGTTTTATTTTTCTCCAAAGCATTCATCTCCTCTTGCATGGATTGAGCCCAATTCCTATCTTTCAAGGCTTCATGTACTGATTTTGGGATTGCAATAGAGTCTAGTGCTAAAACAAAGCTTTTGTGCTGCACAGAAAGATTAGCAGAGGAAACAAACTGGGAGATAGGGTATTGAGTACAAGAGGGACATGAGGGACGAGATTTCTTGGGACAAGCTCTTTTTCCTTTTCTAAGAGCAATGGGTAAATCATCAGAATCAGTAGTAATGGGTAAGTCATCAGAAGTATTAACATCATGATCAGAAATATGAGATTCAGGACTTACCAGTGGATCAGACGATTGAGGTTGCTACTGAGACAATGTGAGTTGTTTCCTTATTTCAGGTGTCATAATCTTTCGTATCTCTGGTGTACTTGATGTATGAATCACAGGAGAATCAGTCACAGGAGGATTACTCACAAGAGGATCAGACACAGGAGGAACAGGACCAGGTGGAGGATACACTGACATAGGTAAATGAGTAGACACTGATGATTCAAACTCAAAGAAGGGAGGTGATGAGATTTCTGGTGAAGGATTCTCCCCCTAAAGATGAGGACCTTGGAAAAAGGACTCAGATTCCTAAAATGTAACATCCATAGAAACAAAAAATTTCCTACTACTAGGGTGATAGCACTTGTAGCCCTTCTTATCAGGAACATAACCAAGAAAAACACATTTAATAGCCCTAGGGTCCAACTTACTGCGATGATGTTTATGAACATGAACAAAAGCAACACACCCAAACACACGTGGAGGAAGACTCATCATAGTTGGAATAGAAGGGAAAAAAGAAGTCATAGAGTGAATAGGACTTACATGGTCAAGTACCCGAGTGGGTAAACGGTTGATCAAGAATGCTGCAGTAAGAATAGCATCTCCCCAATAGTATTTGGGTACATGTGTCTGAAACATTAATGCACGAGCCACTTCAAGAAGGTGACGATTTTTTCTTTCAGCAACCTCATTCTGTTGGGGGTGTCAACACAAGTAACTTCATGAATCATACCGTTATTTCTTATAAATTGGGAAAAACTGTGATTAACATATTCAGTACCATTATCTGTTATTAGTCTCTTGATTTTTTTACCAAAATGGGTCTCAATCATTTTATAAAATTGAAAGAACAGTTGTGGTACCTCAGACTTTTCACGCATTAAGTACACCCAAGTTACACGAGTGCAATCATCAATAAAAAAAACAAACCATCTATTTCCAGAAGCATGAGGGACTTTAGAGGGACCCCAAACATCAGAATGAATAAGATCAAAAGGTTCAACACTCTTAGTAATACTAGAAGGAAAAGACACAGGATGATGCTTAGCAAATTCACAAACATCACAATGAAAAGACTAACAGATTTAGACAAAAACAATGACGGAAATAAAGATTTGAGTAAACTAAATGGAGGATGACCTAAGCGCTTATGATGAAGCCAAATCAAAGAATCAGCAGTTGATTGACCATGAGACATCAAGATGTGATCTGTTACTTTATTTGCAGGAGATTGTGACACCAGATAGTACAACCCACCTTGCTCTTTAGCACTACCAATCGTCTTCCCCGTGGCGAGATCCTGAAAAACACAATGGGTAGGATAGAAGGTTACAGTACAATTCAAATCTTTTGTAATTTTATGAATAGAAAGAAGATTCGTGGAGAGTTTAGGAACATGAAGAACATCCTTAAGATGTAAGGACTGATGTAAGTTTATGTCACCAGAACCCGCAAGTGATGTATGAAAGCCATCAGCTACGTCTATTGTATGAGTTCCAATGGTAGGATGATAAGAAGTAAAAGAGTCAGCACAACAAGCCATATGATCAGTAGCACCAGAATCAACAACCCAAGAATGTTTAAAATCATTACATGAAGAAAGGAAAGAATAAGTTTTGGAGCTCATACCAGTCATAGTCAAAGCACTAGTATCAGATGACTTACTCATAGAATCAAGAATGGTTCGGAGCCGTTCCAACTCATCTGGACGAAATGCAGGTTGGGTCTTATTAGGTGTAGGAGTTATTTCAGAGGAAGTAAAATGCGCTTGACCACGCAACCTTGCCATCTTTTCTAAGACAGTTTGCTTTCCATAAAGGCGAAAGCATAAATCCTTGATATGACCTGTTCTTTTACAATAAGAACACTATTGATCATCTCTCTTAGGTCTAGAAGAGGTACCATCATAAAATTTTGAAAAAGAACTGCTTTGAGAAGAGGCCATACTGCACAGAAAATGGTCAAAGAAAAACTCCAAGAAGCCAAAAAATCACAAATAAATACCAAACGATGTCCGGTCAAAGAGAGCAGCACAGACCCAGAAAGAGGATGAAGGGACGATCAAGATTGCGGTGGTCCGATCCGGAAAAAAGGTCTCACGCGCCGGTGAGATTGGCTGCGCGTGGGCTTCACTCGCGGTTGAAGGGGCGGCGCGTGTGGGCGCGTGCGGTGGCCGTCCGGTCTGAAATTTCTGGAGCAACGTCGTCCGGTGAGCGCGATTCTTTCTGGGTCTGTTCGGAGTTGAAAAACCACCGGGAAAGGGTCCAATCGTGATGAACAGATGTTGTCTTGTGATGAAGAATAATGGAGACGATGAACAGTAACAAAGATCCAGTATAATAGAGATCTTCTCGGTCCAAGAGGTCCCCGGAAAAAATCCGGTGGCGGCTGATGGCAACGAGAGTCAAAAAGAATAAAAGGTTCTTGTTCTAAAGACAATAGGCGCGGAAGCAGAGCTCTCAGGATCGAGAGCTCTGATACCAACTTGAAATAAAAGGGTATTTGAAATATTATTGAATTGTAAATAATCTGTACAAAGGGTTCTCTATTTATAGAGAATACTTGACCTAATTTTGACCTAATGGGCTTGGCCCAATACAACAAATAAATGACTAAATAATAACTAAATAATTATTATTTACAACAAGTAGTAAACCAATCAATTGCTAGTATAATTGTCCATCTATTTTAAGCTTGAGAAAACCCTTGGGTTTTGTTTGAGAGTTTGGAGGAGAAGGGAAAGAAGGGGATCCAAGGGGGAGAGAGGGGAAGGAAATTGGAGGGTATTTTCTTCCCTTGTTTAGGAGCTAAAAAAATGGTAAAGGAGGAAAATTGAGGGTTATTAAGATATTTTTACCATTTTATCTTTTTTTAAAATTAATATAATTATTATGTTTTACAAATTAAATTAAATTTAAAATTTCTAACAAAATTATTTATATACTTTTCACAACACCAAAAAAGATCATATTTTCGATGAAATTTCAACGTTGCAAACGATAACAATTTCATCACAAAAATTTTTTTCGTCATAATATTTTTCGTCGAAAAGCGACGGAATTTTTCAATCGATGAAAATTTTTACAAAAATAAATTTTCTATCGAAATTTTCGACGATATTTAGTTTCCATCAAAAATTTTGACGAAAATAATTTCCTTCATCAAATGTTTTAAACGAAAAAAGAATTTCGTAAAAAATTTTGATGGAACATTTTCCATTCAAAATTTCGATAGAAATGTGTTTTGACGAAAATTTTGACTGAAATTGTTTTGTTAGAAATTTTGAGAGAAATGTTTCATTCGAAACTTTCGACGAAATTTAGATTCTGTAAAAAAATTTGACAAAATATTTTTCCATCAAAATTTTTTGTCGAAATATTTTCCGTAAAATTTTTTTAGGGAAATATTTTCTGTCAAACATTTTTGACAAAAATGTGTTCCGTTGAAAATTTTGATGGAAATGTTTATATCAAAAAACTTGACGGAAATATTTTTCTTCGAAAATTTTCGATGAAAATGTGTTTCGTTAAAAATTTCGACATAAATTTTTTTTGCAAAAAAGTTTAACGAAAATGTTTTCTTCGAAAACTTTCGGTAGAATTTAAACTTTGTTAAGAATTTTGATGAAATTTTTTTACGTCAACAATTTTCGATAGAAATGTTTCGAGGAAAATTTTGATGGAAATATTTTTCGTCAAAAATTTCGATGAATAAGTTTTTTGTGAAATTTTTTGGCAAAATTTAGATTCCGTAAGGAATTTTGACAAAAAAAAATTTCTGCAAATTTTTTTATAGAAATGTTTTTAGTCACAAATTTTTATGGAAATATTTTTCGTCAAAATTTTTTGCAAAATTTTTTTATGGAAATATTTTCCGTAAAACATTTTGACGTAATTGTTTTACATCGAAACTTTTTCATTGGAAATGTGTTTCGTCAAAATTTTGGACGAAAATATTTTCGTTAAAAGTTTCGACAGAATTTAGATTCTATCAATAATTTTAACTGAATTTTTTTTTCGTACAACATTTATGTTTGTAATTATGGCAAAATCTGATTCCATTTCTAATTTCGTCTTTAGTTTTAATGAAAATATTTTGACGTATATAATTCTGATAAAAAATTTGATCACTCTTTTTGACGAAATATTTTTCGTCAATAAATTCTGTCAGTATTTGAGACTTTTCTAAAAATATCGCATTTAAAAATGATTCACAATTATGTAGTTTTAACATTTTAATGCTAAGGGTAAATAAGTAATTTTTAATATTTTTCCCCTCAAACCCTCTAAATTGGAGAAACTTTAATTTTAAGAAGAAGGAGGGTTTTAGAGAGTTTAGTAAAAATCCCCAATTTTTTTCCCTCTTTTTTTAAACTCACAAATAAGAGAAGAACTTACTAAAACCCTCCTTTTCCTTTTCTTCCCCTCTTAAAACCAACTCTCAAACAAACAAAGCCTTAAGATATGGCCTCTCAAGCTAAGCAAAAGGACTTAAAAAGACTTTGGAAAGAGTCTCCTTATCCTTTCCACTCCAACTGAGCCCACAACATCTTGTGTGGTTCTTATGCTACAAGCCGAATATGCAATTACCATCAAATCAAATGATTTTCTTTTTCTTTTTTTCTTCTTGGGTTAGGAAAAAAGGGGGCAAAAACTAAATAAGATAAAAAATTTATTGCTAGAAAAGCACTGGGGCTCGTAAAGCATTATAAGTTTATCCAGCCTGATGGTAACTGATTCTATGCAAATAAGGAACAAAAAACATTTCAGTGAATATGTCCCCAAGCTTGATGCACGATTTCATCATTTATGAACGGACGCAAAGACCACATTTGGCAGTAGATTTCCAGTTCTTCTGATGACAAATTGAGATTTAAAGCTGACACTATCCTTTCCTGCAACAAAAAGGAAGATTTTAAAGGTTCTTCATTTGACTGATTATAAGGTCACATATAGATCATTACCTGCATCAAATAGTCTCGCTTGACCATACTGTATATGATAGCCATTAGGTCAGCTAAACGTGCGACATCAGTATTTTTCATTTTTCTGGTCGGTGTGACATCAGTACTTTGAGAATGAGACGAAGCAGCATTTTCCTCCTGAGTAAGATGTAATTGCCATTCAAGTTAGTTAAAATTCCATAATTTCCATTACTAAAATTATATCAAGAGCATGTAAATCATGCATGAACCTAGTGGAGATTCCCAACCAAGCAGAGAGAAGATAATGGCCTTGCATTAAACGAGTCTCATCCCACAGTTATTAGGTCTCGCTTTTCACTTTGAGAGTTGAGGGTGGGAACTGTGCAGAAAAACGGGGGGAAGAAAGAGTGGGAGGGGGAGGGGGAGACAAGGTCTCTATATGACATGTTTTATTCATAAATATCATGACAAGCTTGACATAACTCTAAATTAGGATTTCAATACCAATAAGATGTATCAGATAGCAAGAACTAAAGATCATGAGCTAACAAACAAAAAGGATATGATATAACAAAGATTAAATGTGGATACAAAAACCCTATTTCTTTTTTGTTTTGGAAAATTTTGGTTTTTTTTTTTTTTTTTTTGAGTGTGTGTGTTGGGGGCTGGGGGAGGTTGAAGAGGGAGAAATTCATTCAAAGGTATATATCTGCGTAAGAAGATAGCAATTGCATTAGAAATTCTCCCAAAAGAAAACTTATAACATTTACCAAGTCATTATAGGTCGCCTGCTCATTCAATTCAACATCAAAATACAGATCTGAGAGGGCAAATAAATTTCCATGTACATTTTGTAGAGCACTAGTTACATCACCCAATAAACCTTCAAGTTCATTAAGTATTACCTTGGCTGCAAGACATACATGACCAGTTAAATGTCAAACTAAAACAATGAAGGGAAGATCACTAAGATGATTATACATTAGGTTCACATCCTTAGAATATATAAAAAACACAACTCAAAAACCCCTGGACCAGTGGTGGACCCAGGAAATTTTTTTATGTCTGCACACTTAAGGGCGGCGCCCCCGAATTTTTTTTTTATTGTATTAAAAAATAAAAGAATATAAACAATAAAAGAATATAAACAATAAAAGAAAAGAAAACTTTAACTTAACATAAAAAAATAGTAATCAAGAGTCAACTAAACCGTTACAATAGAACAAAATTTTTAACTTAATTGTAGGGGTTGGTTGGGTTAGGCCTATCTTTACCTTTTTCCTTTCAATCCTCCTATTTCTTTCTTCTTCTTTTTTTTACTTGACCTGAATCATCCACCCCTGTGAAAAAAAAATTCCCCCAATTTTGTGTCTGCAAGTGCAGACAATTGCAACAATGTGTGTCCGCCATTGCCCTGGACTAACATGTTTTTCTTATCCCACTGCAAAATAGGGGGCCTTGATTTTGTTAGTAAGGGCCTTCACATTAATGATAGCCACTTTGTGCATCTAATAGAACATTTTCATAGAGAAGCCGAAAGGAAGACATTACGCATTAAGTAATGTTGTTAGAGATCATGCTTTAGAAACTGCAGTTTGATATTTTTAATTATTTAAGAGTCAGTTTTCATTTCTTTTTAATGAGTTGTTATGTAGTGAGCAGTCTACCTTTCTGCTTTAATGGGTAGTTATGTAGTGGGGAGTTTTCTTTTCTACTTTGATGGGAAGTTATGTAGTAGAAAGCAGTTTTCTTTTTTATTTTGCTTTATAAGTTGTATTGTCATGCATCAATCAATATCAATACTTCATTTCTCAATTCTATTTTTCATCTTTGAAACCAACAACTGGTATCAAAGCTATCTTCCTAAGGTATCTGTGTGTTAATTTGAGGCGCCATGGAAACTGAAGCGAATCTTACGTCAATTGCTCCGCCAGTGTTTGATGGAGAAAACTATCCAATTTGGGAGGTACGCATGGAGACATACTTGGAGGCGTTGGATCTTTGGGAAGTAGTCGAAGAGGACTATGAAATTCTGCCTCTTCTAGCTAATCCCACCATGGCACAAATCAAAGTGCAGAAGGAGAAGAAAACGAAGAAGTCAAAAGCAAAAGCCTGTTTGTTTGCTGCAGTTTCACCCACTATTTTTCACTCGTATCATGACTTTAAAGTCAGCAAAGGAGATATGAGATTATCTCAAGACTGAATACAAGGGAGATGAACGCATTTGAGGAATGCAGGTGCTGAATCTAATTCGTGACTTCGAGATGTAGAAGATGAAGAATGATGAATCTATTAAGGAGTATTCTGAGAGGCTTCATAGTATAGCAAGCCGGATCAGATTGCTGGGTTCTTCTTTTCTAGAGTCAAGAATTGTTGATAAGATCCTTGTAACTGTTCCTGAAAAATTTGAGGTCACAATTACATCTATAGAGAATACTAAGGATATGTCAAGCATCACTCTTGCTGAATTGTTGAATGCTTTGCAAGCACAAGAGCAAAGAAGAGCCATGAGACAAGAAGGTGTCATTGAAGGAGCTCTACCTGCAAAATATCATGAAGCTGATAAAAATAAGAAAGTGCAAGAAGGTAATTCTGGTTCTTTTTCTTCAAGTAGCAAGAATGGAAATTTCAAGGGGAAATATCCTCCTTGTCATCACTGTGGGAAGAAAGGTCACCCTCCTTTCAAATGTTGGAGGAGGCCATATGCAAAATGCTCCAAATGCTGTCAATTTGGGCATGAGGCAGTGGTATGCAAAAATAAGAATCAAATGCAGGAGGCAGATGCTCAAGTTGTTGACGAAGAAGAGGAGGATCAACTGTTCGTAGCCACTTGCTTCTCCAGCAATGAATCTAGTGAGAGCTGGCTGATTGACAGTGGGTGTACAAACCACATGACTCACGATCGAAGTCTGTTCAGGGAGTTAAAACCCACACTAATCACAAAAGTCAGAATCGGTAATGGTGACTATATTTTGGTAAAGGGAATAGGAACTGTTTCTATCCTAACAAATTCATGTACAAAGTCAATCTCAGATGTTCTTTTTGTACCTGATATTGATCAAAATTTGTTAAGTGTTGGACAGCTCATTGAAAAAGGATTCAAAGTGCTTTTCGAAGATAAAGTTTGTCTCATTCAAGATGCAAATGGAAAGGAAATCATCAAAGCAAAAATGAGAGGCAAGAGTTTCTCATTTGAACCAATCAAGGAGGAGCAAGCTGCTGTTTCCACAGAGGAGAATGTGACTGAGACTTGGCACAAGAGACTAGGCCATTGTCACCTCTCAAATATGTTGTTGATGAAGAAGAAGGAGCTGTCAAATAATTTACCAACCTTTGCAGATCATTTACCAAATTGTAATGCCTGTCAATTTGGCAAACAAAACAGAAATCCATTTCCTAAGTCAAGTTGGAGAGCCTCCAATAAGCTGCAGTTGATCCACTCAGATGTTGCTGGTCCTCAAAGAACTCAATCACTTGCAGGTAGTCGTTACAATGTTATTTTCATAGATGATTTTAGCAGAATGTGTTGGATTTTTTCATGAAGCATAAATCATAAGTGGCTAGCCTGTTATGGAAGTTCAAGAAAACGGTGGAGAACTAGAGTGGTTGTAGCATTCAGTGCATTAGGACTGACAATGGAAAGGAGTATACTTCAGAACAATTTAATACTTTTTGTGAAGAATCTGGCATTGAACACCAACTCACTGTTCCATACACTCCGCAACAAAATTGAGTAAGTGAGCGAAGAAACAGGTACATAATGGAAATGACTCGATGTATGCTTCACGAAAAAGAGTTGCCAAAGAATTTCTGGGCTGAGGCAGCAAACACTGTTGTCTTCTTGCAAAACAGACTGCCTACAAAGGCATTGGAGGACAAAACTCCATTTGAGGCATGGTATGACTATAAACCTTCACTCAGTTTCCTTAGAGTGTTCGGTTGTATGTGTTTCTCTCATATTCCACAGGTAAAGCGTGATAAACTTGATCAAAAGTCAGAACCAGGAATCTTTGTTGGCTATAGCTCTTCCTCCAAAGCCTACAAAGTGTATCAACCTCAAACTTGGGAAGATAATTATCAATAAGGATGTTTATTTTCATGAAGATGAGAAGTGGAACTGGACACAATCACAAAAGGCATCCATGAGTAAGCAAAAATCAAGTCCTCTCATCCAAATAAGCAAAGAGCAAGGAGTGGAACAGTGGCAAGAAGAGTTAGAAGATGACCCACCAATTCGTGGAACAAGGTTGCTGTCCAATATTTATCAAAGATGCAATGTAGCCATTTGTGAACCTGCAGGATATAAAGAAGATGTTCAAGACAAGAATTGGAAGAAGGCAATGGAAGAGGAGTTGTTAATGATAAAAAAGAATAATACTTGGGAGCTTGTTGAAAAACCGAAGGATAGAGCAGTTATTGGAGTAAAGTGGGTGTTTAGAACCAAGTTAAATGCAGATGGCTCCATCAACAAGTACAAGGCTAGACTTGTAGTCAAAGGATATGCACAAATTTTTGGTGTTGATTATTCTGAAACCTTTGTACCTGTGGCTAGAATGGACATTATTCGACTCTTGCTAGCTGTTGCAGCTCAAAAGGGCGGGAAAGTGTTTCAACTAGATGTAAAATCTGCATTCTTGAATGGTATTTTGCAGAAGGAGATCTATGTTGAACAACCCAAAGGATTTGTGAAAGAAGGTGAGGACGAGAAGGTCTACCTGCTCAAGAAAGCTCTATATGGCTTGAAACAAGCACTTAGAGCATGGTATAGCAAGATAGATGAGCATCTATCAAGCTTAGGATTCAAGAAAAGCACTTCAGAAGCTACTCTGTATATAAAGCACGAAGATGATGATCTGCTTATAGTCTCTCTTTATGTTGATGATCTCTTAATCACAAGTGGCAATGCCAAGCTTGTTGAAAAGTTCAAAAGAGAAATGATGCAGATTTTTGAAATGACAGACCTTGGACTCATGACATACTTTATGGGAATGGAGATTAAGCAGTCAGAAGATGAAGTTTTCATATGTCAAAAGAAGTATGCCAAGGAAATTCTCAAGAAATTTCATTTGGAGGATTGCAAGGCAGTTACCACTCCAATAAATCAAAAGGAGAGCTTGAGCAAAGATGATGGAGCTGACAGAGTTGAAGAAGGCTACTTTCGAAGTCTGATTGGTTGTCTAATGTACCTCGCAGTATCAAGACCAGACATTTTATTTTCTGTAAGTCTTTTATCTCGTTTTTTGCATTGTGCTACTGAAATGCATTTAAAAGCAGCAAAAAGAGTAGTGAGATACATCAAAGGAACGATTGATTTTGGTGTGAAATTTAAGAAAAGTCAAGACTTTGAGCTATTCGGATTTTCTGACAGTGATTGGGGAGGTTCTGTGGATGATATGAAAAGTACCTCTGGTTATTGTTTCAGTCTTGGCTCAGGAATTTTCTCATGGTGCTCTAAAAAGCAAGATGTTGTAGCACAGTCCACAGCAAAAGCGGAATTCATAGCTGCTACAGCAGCAGCTAATCAAGCAATTTGGTTAAGAAAATTTTTATGTGATTTACACATGAAGCAATGGAACAATACTGAAATTCATATTGATAACCAAGCAGCAATTGCCATTTCTAATAATCCAATTTTTCATGGGAAGACCAAACATTTTAAGATCAAGTTTTTCTTCTTAAGGGAAGTTCAGAAAGAAGGTGAAATTGTACTTGTATACTGCAAGTCAGAAGACCAATGGGCAGACATGTTCACAAAGCCATTACCTGCAAGCAAATTTGAAGATCTAAGGGAGAAGATTGGTGTTTGCAGCTCCAAAAGCAAGGAGAAGTGTTAGAGATCATGCTTTAGAAACTGCAGTTTGATATTTTTAATTATTTAAGAGTCAGTTTTCATTTCTTTTTAATGAGTTGTTATGTAGTGAGCAGTTTACCTTTCTGCTTTAATGGGTAGTTATGTAGTGAGGAGTTTTCTTTTCTACCTTGATGGGAAGTTATGTAGTAGTGAGCAGTTTTCTTTTTTATTTTGCTTTATAAGTTGTATTGTCATGCATCAATCAATATCAGTACTTCATTTCTCAATTCTATTTTTCATCTCTGAAACCAACAAATGCAGATTAGAAAGCAATGTTGATAAATTAAAAGAAGCCAATGTGTCTTCATAAATTACGCTACCAGGTAGGTAGTTTATTCCAAGCTCAAATGTTGAATGTAATTCAAACTGAAGACAACAAAAATAAAGGCCCAACTGTCCAAATGGTTAAATACGTAACAATTTTCTTTTTCAAATACTAAAAATAGAAATATATACACAACCCTATATTATGACGAATATAGGCTTATTATAGCAGAATGTGATCAATCAGATGAAAAGAGAGGCCATACCTTGTCTTATATGGTTAAGAACTCCATGTTTGCATGAGTGCACTTCCATATGCAGATTTTGCCATATTGAAACAGTTATATAATCAGGGCAAAGATGTAGCACTAAAACTAAATAAGTAGAATATAAATTCCCTAACCCCTGCCCTCGCAAGTTGGGGTTTTATATTTTCCCTCATCCCTACACTCGCAAGTCGGGTTTTCACCGGGAGTGGATGTTAAGTAGAACTTAAATTAAAAAGGGATAACAAGAGAATTTATAATGTTGTTTCAAGCACAGATGTCTTTCGGAACTATTAGAAAAATATAAAATAAATTCATTAATGTAACTTCACCTAATAGCATAGGCTTCTGGATTGAAATGGTTTTTTATACAATATTAGAGCTGAAAGTTACATGATTGGTTGCCCCACTGTCAACAATACATAACCTTTCGAAATCAGTGCCAGAAGCCAAAAAAGACCGAGTATGTCTTTACCAGTCAAAGCACGAGAGCAAGAGTAAGATGTCTTACTAAAAGTATTCATAAGGATTCACAACTAGAGTGCTGACTTGCTTGAGTCATCGAAAGTCCCTAAACAGCGATAAAAATATTAGATCTGAGCAACGGCAGCTTGAACCAACCAAAAGATTCGAGCTTTATGGGAAAACAAAGACCCACGACCCAAACATTGTCGGATTGAAAAGATGAGGACAAATCAGGAAAGAAGAGGCCAAGGTGAGCATGACAAAAACGAACGACGACTGATAGGATGCTTCACGCATCGTCACGTGTAAAAAGATAGCCGGAGCATGGAGGCACACACGGCTGTTTCAGGTGATGGGCTCTTGGGTTCCAGCCGATTTGGGATAAAGACATCACCTTGGGACTCAATGGTCTGAAAAACGGTTGGAAAAGTGGTCAATTGGAGAGGCGGCGGTTGAAACTTTCAGGCATGTGGAGACGTGCAAAGCAATTTAGGGACGCAAAGGTGGCGTCGAATTGTATATCTGGAAATTCTGAGTGAAAAAGTTGTCTTCTTGACCGGAAAAGTTGTCGGAAATTTTTTCGGTTGCAACTGGTGATGGAAAACTGACTGGAAGTTGAGGCACAACAACAGCGCAAGTGGATCTGCACTAAAGGCGTAAAGAAGGATCTGCACTAGTGGTGGTGGCTGCAGGAGCAAAAGGCTCCCAGTTGAAAGGAGAAAAACTGAAAATTATTATTGATTTTCAAGAGAATATGTACAAAGGAATACGATATATATAGATAGACTAATGGGGTCTAAAGGAATAAACTCAAATCCTAAAAAATAAGGAAACACTAATCTGACTAATAAAAAAAACAAATATTACAGATATTTTCCATATTTACAATAGGAATAGAAGACATGAGATATGTCTAATTCTTTCGACTTTCGATCAAAATTTGCCAATAGTAGATATTTGACGGTGGACTGACCAAAAAGTGAATAAAAGAATTAGAGGGAAGTTGAAAATGAGTGAAAGAGGGAGACAAGAAACAAGAATTGCAAGCAAGAAATGTCAACAAAATTAAACTGACCATCAAACAATTGCTTTGCTAAATTCATATTTAACACAAGAATGAAAAGCAAGTAGGATCATTTAATGAGAACAAAATTTGTGAATAAAATTTTTGAGAAATTTTTGAAAAACTGCAGAGTTATGTGAAACATTATGAAATAAAAATAGCTTTGAAGCTTTGAAGAATTCAATATTAACTTGAGAAAAGCACTCATAAAAAAGAATCACTTCGCCACATTTTTGTTGTAAAAAGATTTATGAATTGCTTTTAATTAAAAGGGTCAAAAGAGAGTTGTATTTAGGTGTCACTGTAAACCCTCCTTGAGACGTATGACATGCCTTAACCTTGGAATGGTATGGTACACAACCTACCCTCTCCTTAAACTTTTAACCACCAAAATAAAAATAAAAATAGTTATACTTACAATTGGTTACACTCTGGACGCCATCATTGGGGTTCCTACATCCAGAATTGGCATAGGATTTAACTCTCTTCGTTTCATTAGCTACGATTATCTTGTTGACTAATTTAGAATTAGTATCTATAGGAGGCCTTCGAATAAACTCTGCAAAATCAAAGTGAAAAGTTATAACATTAGTCAAAGAGGAAGCAATAGCATTATTTTATTTAAAGTGCTAACACATAGTAAACAAAACAAAAATCTGTGAAACTACCAAGTGCTTGTTGAAAGCCTGACAGCAGCCTGCTTCCAGCACTTCCCAACTCATCAATCTTTGTGATCCTATCATAGGGTAGTTGTTAAGAAACATAAACTTAAACCGATATATTTTGTGATAAAATGATTACAGAATAATGCTATTGAAGTAAAAATTCAAAATTCAAAAAAAAATAAAATTATCTGGACAATGTCTCATAGGTCATAAGAATATGCCAAGAAGTACCTGAGTAAAAAATTTTAAGAATGCATTCTTTCCAAAAATGCTATTGACGCGGTAAGGTTGCTCCCTTGTGACCGAAAGGTCAGAAGGAAATAGCCTCTTTGTAAAAATACAATGGTAAGGATAAGTACAATCCACCATCACCCCTACCCTCGCAAAGTAGGGGAGCCATGTGCACTGGGTTTGCCTTTTTTCTTTCCATTACCTAGCCATCAAACTTTCTAAATGTTTTTCCACTACCCCAGCCATTTATCAGTTATCATCACCGCCATCCCCTTAGAATAGGGATCACCTACAATTATTGCATATCCATACATAATTATCTTGTAGCCACTAGGAATGAAGTAAATCTTCAATACACCTATAGTATGTACTTCTTTGTTGAAAGTAGAAATAAGTAGGACTTATATGACATTAGTCATAAAAGAATTAGTAGAATGAATAAAGTTACGTGAGTCACATTTTTCAAATTTTAATAGGTAATGTACTGAGTCTTTTATACTACAAGAGTATTGGAGAAGTTTTCCTAGGAGTGGGCTACTAGTTAGTTTTTATGTGGTTTGTAGGTGGTCTTAAAAAATCAAACCTTCACGATGTCTTTCCACAAAAATTACAACAACATCCGCCGATAACTATAACTGATGCTTATAATATTTGCATCCACATGAAATTGTTCTTTCAATTTATTTATTTCATTACATATTTAGGCATGAATTCAATTTTTCAATTTGAAGCTCCTTCAGAAACTCAACAAACTCAACGAAAAACTATGATTCTTGTAAGATAGCATTCATGAGAGTGAAAAAATTATTCCCTGTCTTGTGGAGTTCCCAACCTTACAAGAACAATATCCCAAGGAATTTTTCAATTTTCAAGGGTCAGTCAAGGCAAGCACATAACTTATTTCCTTGAAAAGCAAATAAAACTACCATATATTTACCAATTACTTTGCAAACCTATCAACACACAAAAAGCTAAAACGTAGTAAACTTAGCAATTACCCTGTCATGAAATCTCTGAATTTGTGGACAATTTCTTCCTTCAAGTCAGAAATTGACTTGTCATCCTCGCTTCCCATTCTGCAATTAATATCAAAGAGTAGAAATTAATAAAATAGCTTCCATTTAAGAAGAAAGACCTCAGCAAACCATCTCATAAAAATTCACATTCTTGCTTTGATTCTAGACTGACATAGGCTAAAAAATTGATTTCCAAAGCAAGCTCATATATCAGATCAGGCAATTTAAAAATGTATATATATTGAAAAGAAGTTTTTGTATATTGATATTGAATAAATTACATGAGTGAGTATTTATACAAGAAAGAATCGCTAAGAATGACTAAGCGATGACTAATCAATCCTATCACAATCCTAATCACAATCAATTCTAATCAATCACAATTAATCTTAATCAATCATAATCAATCCTAATCAATCATAATCAATCCTAATTCCTAATTAATAGGAAATAAAAACGGAAACATGTTTGAATTCTAATTTTCTATACTCCCCCTCAAGTTGGGAGGTAAATATTGATCATTCCCAACTTGCCAATCAAGTCTTCGAATGCTGGACGGTGTAGGCCCTTGGTAAGGACATCTGCCGTTTGCTCTTTGGTTGGAACATATATCAAATGCACACTTCCATCATCTAATTTTTCTTTGATGAAGTGACGATCAACTTCCACGTGCTTTGTTCGATCATGATGCACAGGATTTTGAGCAATGCTAACAGCTGCCTTGTTGTCACAATATAGTTTTATTGGTAGGGAATATGAAATCTTCAACTCTTGAAGAAGTCTTCTCAACCAGATTCCTTCACAAACTCCATGAGCTAAAGCTCGAAATTCTGCTTCAGCACTACTTCTTGCAACCACTGTTTGCTTTTTGCTTCTCCAAGTAACAAGATTTCCCCACACATAGGTGCAATAGCCTGAGGTAGATCTTCTGTCTACTGATGAGCCTGCCCAATCTGCATCAGTGTAGATTTCAATTGTCCTTTTATACCCCTTTTTAAAGAATAATCCTCTTCCTGGAGTATTCTTGAGGTATCTAAGCACCCTATAGACTGCACTAAGATGCTTCTCCTTGGGTGAGTGCATGAATTGACTAATCATACTCACCGCAAAGGCAATGTCAGGACGCGTATGAGATAAGTAGATTAGTTTACCAACCAATCGCTGATATTGTTCTTTATCCACCTCATTCCCATCTTCAATACCTAACTTGGTATTAGGTTCCACAGGTGTCTCAGCAGGTTTACACCCTAACATTCCTGTTTCCAACAAAAGATCTAGAACATATTTCTTTTGTGTTAGAGTGATGCCTGTTTTGCTCCTAGCAACTTCCATACCAAGGAAATATTTGAGAGTGCCAAGGTCTTTGAGTTCAAATTGAGCTGCTAGAAATTTCTTCAAGGTGTTCAATTCCTCAATATCATCACCTGTAAGAATTATATCATCTACATATACAATAAGAATAGCAATTTTACAATCCTTAGAGTGTTTGTGGAAGAGAGTATGATCAGTCTGTGCTTGAATGAAGCCTCTTCTTTTGACTGCTTGTGTGAATTTGTCGAACCATTCTCTAGGAGACTGTTTCAATCCATATAGAGACTTTTTTAGTTTACACACTGATTCATTTCCCCTTTCAAAACCAGGTGGAGGATCCATATAGACTTCTTCATGTAAGTCACCATTTAGGAATGCATTCTTCACATCTAACTGTTGCAGAGGCCAATCTAGATTGGCAGCAAGAGATAAGAGAACTCGGATGGTATTGACTTTAGCAACCGGAGCAAAAGTCTCATGATAATCTATCCCATGAGTCTGAGTGAAACCCTTTGCAACCAATCTTGCCTTGTATCTGTTGATGCTATTATCTGCATTGAATTTTATTGTAAACACCCATTTGCATCCTACTGCCTTTTTTCCTTTGGGTAGGGTCACTATCTCCCAAGTTCCATTTCTTTCTAAAGCATTCATTTCTTCAAAGACAGCATCCCTCCATTTTTTATCATTGAGAGCCTCATGTATATTTCTCGGTATCTTTGTACTATCCAACATAGTATTGAAAGCACGAAACCCTGGGGACAACTTTCCATATGAAATATGATTAGAAATAGGATGAGTAGTACAAGATCGAGTACCTTTTCTGAGAGCAATGGGCAAGTGTAGATCATTTTCACCATGACACTCAAGTATTGGGGTGCTGGAACTAGAACATAAAGAACTGATGTCAAAGTAATCAGCTCAGAAAGTTTAATGGTTCCGTGTCCCGCAATCTGGGAAAAACTGCCATCGGCGATCTTGACCCGAGAAGGTTCAGAATATGGAGTGTATGAACAAAACAAGCCAAGATTACCTGTCATATGATCAGAGGCTCCAGAATCAAGGATCCAATGATTTTGACTATCAACATGGAAAGTTGTACCTTGCTGGACCACATGACTAGTGGCCTTAGGAGGTTGCTCGTGGTAATAAAAAGAGTGTTTTGAGGAAGCCATGAATAAAAAGAGAAGGGTTGACCGTTGATGAAAAATCAAGTTTTGTAAACTTTTGATCTGACCTCTGGAACAGGAAGGGAAGAAGCCGGCGAGAAGGTCTGTGCAAGTCGCGACGGAAAAAAAACGTCTGGAAGGCGGCGCGTGGTGGCGCGTGCAGCGGCTGACGGCGATGGGTCCAGCGGCGGTCGACTCGTCGGATCCTTCTGAGTCGAATGGTCACCTCACTTTTTTTGATCGGAGGTAAGTAAACTAGGTTTCTGTGTTGGACAGATTCAAGGCGGTGTTTAGGAGGTGTTTGACGGTGATGGAAGTGTTTGGATGGTTATTTCAGATTTGAATTAGGGTAGGAACGAACCCGCTCTGATACCATATTGAAAAGAAGTTTTTGTATATTGATATTGAATAAATTACATGAGTGAGTATTTATACAAGAAAGAATCGCTAAGAATGACTAAGCGATGACTAATCAATCCTATCACAATCCTAATCACAATCAATTCTAATCAATCACAATTAATCTTAATCAATCATAATCAATCCTAATCAATCATAATCAATCCTAATTAATAGGAAATAAAAACGGAAACATGTTTGAATTCTAATTTTCTATAATATATAAAACAAATCCAAAACTTCTATTTAGAAGAATGACTTTTTTTAAGAAAAAAAAAACAAAAAAGGAGCAAGTTAATGTACCTAATTAGGCATTACAAAATCAAACAACAAAATTTATCACCAAACTCTCAAGTGTGTAATTTTTTGTTTTTTTTTTAAATAGGGATTAAAGTGGTGCCATTGCACAAGGCTTTCATAGGCCACCACTGTGGAGTCCACAAAGGATAAAATATATATGAGCCATATATCTACATATATATATGTATATATATGTATCAAGCATGCACTTCTCTATACAGTTCAATACTCTAATCATATACACTAACAAGTACAGGAGATTATGCAAGGAGTAACGCCCGTGTTGACCCGGTTCATTATACATTATGAAATCAAATCAGTAATTAAGTACAACTGTGACAACCCCTGTATGCATCCAAGGGCTGCCCATTAATCATACCCGAGTATTTGCCTTTAATATTAACACATACATATGTTTAGTGACTTGGCTAGGAAACTGATGGAACCCGGACAAATTCAACAGCAAATAAACAGCAGATATATTGATATCACAGTACCCAGACGTTACAGAGATAATAACCACTAAACTCAACAAGGAAATGACAAGGAAATACAAAGGAATAACAATAAAATAGAGAGTAAAACACCAAAAGACCTCACTCACTCTCAAACCAACATACCTAGGCCCGAGAGATCCTTCCCCAAATTCCCACTCCCCAAATAGCTCAATACATGCCCCCACTCTCCACTCCTCCCTTCCTTTTATCCTACTCACAGAATATTCTAGAATAACTAACTAATTGGCCCACTCACTTTTAGGCCCATCAGAAACATACCACTAGGTACGTTATTCCCGTGCTCTTTAAATGGACATGGGTTTTCTACATTGTACATACATCAGGCTGTGCTAGAAGTTAACTTGATTCTTCCTGACACTAACTTCCATCAAACCTCTAGTTCACATACATGTCTCTTCTCATATAAGGTTTCTCACATGATCATGATTTTCAATAGATTTCTTGGCATCAGCATACTATATCCAAATTCTTTATACAGCTTGAGTATTCACGTCAAACCAGAATTTTAACACATAATAGAATCATGTAGAGATTATTTAATAGTTACTTTGATATAATATTCACATGCTTTAACCACTTAATGGATTTCCGTAGTTTCTCATCTATTAACATGTACTTATACATAAATTCCTTCAAATGAACATCCATTCACATTCAAAATCTTCAAGAGAACGCTTACATACAATGCACATCAGATCAGGACTTTTCCATATACCATCGAACCACATAGAGGGTACATCACAACTGTTGTTTCACAACGATTACAAATTTCAGTCATTAAACAGATTTCCAAGGCTTCAACACTAATACATACACATCCAGAAGTCTGTTTTTCAATCAAAGTCATATATTTGCTCATCTCATTAAACATGTAAACAGCCAACTTATATCATTCCTTATGCCGAAATGCCTTACTCACTTAGAACCTGCAAAATAGTAGCCCAATAAAGGGTGAGATAAACTCAATAAGTGGCCACCACTCCTCAATCAGCATCAACAACATAGTACAACTCATGGCATTCAAATGCATATATCGATACAGCAGGCCAGCATTCTCATTTCAACATAGAGCCATGGGGACCATACTCCACCAATGGGTGTGCCTTCCTCAATGGTGGTTTAATTCTCATTAACATAGAGCCATGGAATGTGAGTTCCTCCATGGTAGTTGAACTCATAACAGTGTACACATATAACATTCAAGCACACAAAAGGTCATACACTGCATATCAATGCAATCAAGGAAGCTATACACTTACCTCAATGCTGAAAATTTAGTTAGTACTTAGTTTCTCTTTGGAAATCTTTTGAGATCACCACTTTCACCTAGGACATCATCACAACATGAATTTCAGCCACAATGATCTACTTAGATATTACAAGGTATCTGAAATTCAGTAATTTTACTTAGTTATTTTATAATGATTTAGCATAGTTCCAATAAAATCTTAGATAGTGTAGTTCAACTTTTTCCTATTACCAAAACTATGGAGCAAACTGTCAAACACTTGCCATGCATGCCCGATTTTAGTGTCCTAACAGTCCCTACAAGCTGGTTCGGCTAAAGGAACCAGTCATACAACCGATTTTAGGCTCTCAAGCACCCAAATACATTTCAATAGAGTCTGTCCAACACCGAAATATAAAACCCCAACATGCTTTCATGTAATATCTAAACGTATTGAGCTTTTAAAATGGCCATTACTAAGCAGTTCCCTTACATGCATTTGGGTTATAACTAAGTAATATCCAAACTTCACCTTTATAACCGAAGATACAAGGAAGAAAAGAATTTTCTATAACTTACTGGGTTGGCTTCTTCAAGGCAATTATAACTTCAACTCTCCACCCTAAAGTTGGACTTCGACCCCCTTTTTGAGTTGCTCCACAATTGTGATGAGAAGAGAAGCTAACGGAAGAGTTTTGATGAGAAGACCGTGGACATGCAAAGAGGGGTTTTGGTGACTTTGGTGAGAGTGAGGGGTTTTCTCTCACCTTTGATGGAGAAATAGTCATAGGTGAGAGAAAACAAAAGCACGTTAATAGGTGTTTTTAGTAAACATGGCTATAGTACTACTTTTTACTAAAACTCCACCCTTATGTCTTTTAATTAAAACTATTTATGTGGTCATAAGAATGATAACAAAATTTCCCTACAGGTTTATCAATTCAGAATTTAATTAGGATGAGTGAGTTTATAGCTTGCATTTGATTAAATAAACAACTGAGATTTCGTACTGCTTAATTAACTGATTAATTTCATAAACAAATTTAATAATTAATTAAACAATAACCCTCACTACAATGGAATATAGATTTACGTGGGACCAGGATGTCACAATAACGCTAAGCAAACAAATTTAGAGGTCTCGTAGTACTCAAAAAGCCAAGACAGCCATTAAAAAAATAATTCAGAGTAGGACATCTCAAAAGCCGTCAGTTAATAAGCTCATAAAGGAGCTGATGTTATACAAGAGAATTCTTAGGAGTTCCCACTTTTTATAATGAGATTGCATTGACCTAACTCAGTAGCCATACAATACACTCAAAAGAACCAAGTAAAATTGCAATGCCTGTATGCACCCGATACGTTACCTTTTATGATTTCATACGCAGTAGAAATTTTCTTCTTAATTTGGTTTCGTGATTACATTCATAATTATACAGACTATCCATAATACATTTTCAATTAGTAACAACATGTATCACATAACATATTAAAAGAAATGTACGTAGACATAACTACCCAACGTAAACACATACCACAAAATTAAAATAAAACCAATCTATTCAGGGAATCAATATTTACTGCAAATTTCCTAATTATAGGACTAATACTAACCAAGAGAAAATCCTTTTTGAACTCCAACTCTGGAGATGAGTGATTCATGACAAGGATGATGTATCTACTTGTCTCCTCTCATGTTTCTCATTAATTTTTTTATTTATTTTTTGATTAGATTGATTTCAATAATGACTCAATTTCCACATATCTATTCATGATAAGTGGACCAAACTTAGGTCAACACCTTCTTGGAAATAACTTCATCTAATGTATCAACTGTGTTAGTCCTCCCTAACTTCATCTAATGTATCAACTGTGTTAGTCCTTCCTTGTTAATTAATTATCTTGAGAGGAATTAATTCATGAGAAGACCATTAAACGTTGGGTGATTAAAGCCTGGACATCCCTCAATCTGGGGTAAAACTGCCTCAAGTCCCCACACAGTTTGAGTTATTGCTTTAATTGGAGTTTCCCTAACAACAAAGTATCCGAATATAGGTATTCCTGTATTCAGAATATTCCATGATAGAAGCACTAATATATCAAATAGGATTTAAACCTATCTTCTACTCAATTCCTACTCCATTCTGGGTTTAGAATCTGGATAGTCAACCAGAGTTATCTTACTTTACATACCTGATAATTCAAGAAAAAATGACCATACATGTCATTTTAACATGTTAGCATCTTCCACATCATTGCAATCATTCCTACTAAACATTCAGAATTTTACATGTATCCATACATCAAAATTCATTAGGAATAGATTAAATACACATGGGCTATTACATATTGACGTGGTTTTAAAAAAACAGAACTAAGATTATTAGCATATGAATGCCATATTTTAATTCGAAAACAGTCAGAATAACATGGTTCTATTCTCGTCATTCCAAGTAAACCATTAATTATCCTCAGCCACGCCTTTATCTTTATTTCCTCCCTCCTTGTCTCGAGTAACTAATGTGTAGGAAATTCAATGAGTCTATAAAATTTTCTAAGGATGGGACCCTTAGTCACTCACTTTCTGGTTTTCCAGAATTTCAATACCTTAATTTAACTTCTCGAATAACCTATTTTCGACTAAAATGATTCTCTACTGTTTAAATCATGGTTGGTTAAGCATGGGAGTGTTGTAGTAAAATAACCATTCTAAGATTTTAAAGTGACTAAAGCTCATACAAACCACTAAGCTTTATTTGTATACCATCTAAGAGGATTGAGACTTATCTCTCTCATAGGTGTTTTCTAAACACCAGCGCTTCGACTTTCAGTTTGGGAAGCTTTCAAGGAGCCTGAAAAAATACAGATACGTGAATTGTGTATCTGGATATAAACACAAGGCAAGACATATCTGTCGAAGGGTTGCAAGACAACCGCGCTCATTTCATTATTTGAGTCACTTCCAAACATATCAAACTATTCTCCAATATAAAGGAACTCAGCACCAAACAAAATTCATAATTTAAGATGTTTCCTAAAGGTCCAAAATACACAATTTCAACATATGCATAAACACGAAGAAATTTCTTAGGGAGTCTCATAAACTTTCCCAAATTACCTCTTGTGCACATTCAACTCCTGAAGTCATATATAATAAGTGCATTGCATACAGCCTTTACCTAAAATGGAACAGATATTTTTTCACAATACATCCTAGTTGGTACAATTCTTAATTTTTCAGCATATACATTCAGTAATAATTCTGCCTTTTTGCACATTATCATGCTAAATCACAAAAAAGAATTTAGTACTTCAACCATTCAGTTATTTAGCCACTCCATCTCTATTTCCAGCCCTGATATCATGTGAACCTGAAATTGGGTCCTACATGGGGTGAGATTTATAATCCCAATAAGGCAAAAAGTTCAGAACCCTTCTAAGGTTTAGGTATTGCATCAATTTAGGATTTCATACCCTTTTAAGAATTCTGCTATAAGGTTAGTAAGAGTACCCCAAATATATATATATATATATATATATATATAATATATATATATATATATAAACTTCCAGCCACATTCATTATAGTAAACATAATGATATTCTGATAAGAGTCAGATCAAGTAACCAAATAACAAAAGAAAACAAACGATATTTTGGCCCAGAAATGATTTGGATTTTCTGTATATTTGAACAAGAAAGGAAATTACAGAATGTAAATACAATAACAGTAAAAGACTCAATAAGAAAAACTAAAGTTCAGCACATTCGAGCGGTGCTGAGGCTCTCCTAAGTTCCCAATTCAATTCCATGCCTATGCTCACGCCATCTACACCCTTTTATTCCCTCTAACAGCCTTGCCACATCAGCATTAATTCTTTCTCTCCTCTAACTAACAGAATCAGCCTTCTAGAATATTCTAACTAACAACAGTGTCATGCGCCAATAATCCCCTACACCGCTTCCTAGCTTTCACCTTCAAAGGCATCCTATCATATTCATATAGTAATGTGACCCAATTGTCAAGACTAAAATGCATTAAGCACAAGCAATCCAATGGGCATCCCCATCATGTGACAATTGTATAAATACACAAACACACAATTTGGCACGAGGTCCCCTTAACATAACAAGGATCGACCCTCTTTCAATCATTCTCATTCCATGCAAATTGTTAAGAAATATAAAACCATTAAATGTAAACTCACCCAACAGCTTTTGTTTTTGGATTGAATTGGTTCTTTACATGGTATCAGAGCCTCGGTGTCACAGGTTCGATCCTCACTGCCCCTCATTCTAATAATTAAATATTGTGGAGTTTCTTAACACAGGTAGGCTAGGTCTGATGCATTATCCACCCGTCAAGCCCAATGGGCTCTCGTGTGAGGGGGCGTGTTAGAAAAATGTAAAACCATTAGATGTATCCTCACCCAACAGCTTAATCTTTTGGATTGAATTGGTTCTTTATATAAATATAACCACTTACATGTATGTACCAAATTTAAGGTTATTCTGTTTGCTCATACTCGGGTTTTACCCGCATAAACTTTTCAATATAAATCAGACCCAAATTAATGAAATTTCCACAACAACCAAAGTTTTCAAGAAGACTTCTTCCACTTGTATACATATGAATCACCTTCAAATCTCCTAATGAGATGTCAACCCATTTTATTCCACACTAAAGCACACCAAGAATGTACATGCATGTACTCCAAGTAACATAAATCATACACAGCCTGACTAATTCAGCCATTTCAGCCCACAATCTCAACAAAAACTAAGATACCGACAAGAGAAAGGAAGTTTTCGGACTTACCTTTTGGTTCTTCACTCCTAAGAGGCTAAGAATAGGTTGTTTACCAAGGTTTTTCCCCAAAGCTCCCTCAAAAGCAAGACCGCTACTGGACAGACCCCCAGAGATGAATAAATTTCCAGATTTCACACCAAATGTTGTCCAGCTTTCAGAATCAACCCACTACTTTAAGTGTTTCCCTTTTTTCTTTTCTTTTTCTGATTAAAGCTTGGCTTTGGAGTTAAAGATGGATTTAGAAAGAAAAAAAAACTCATAAAGAGGAAGGAGGAGAAGGAGTTTTGGTTATAAGGGACTAGGTCAGGGCTACAATAGGGAAATATTTAAGAGTAAATACCTTTTTGGTCCTTAGCAAATTTTACGACACTCGTTTTAGTCCCTAGCAAATAAAAAGGCCCATCGTGGTCCTTAAGAAATTCAAAATGGACCCATTTTAGTTCTTTTAAGGACTAATATGAGTCTTTTTTGAATTTGTGAGGGACCAAAATTTCAACTAAATTGGTCCATTTTGAATTTTTTAGGGACCACGAAGGGCCTTTTTATTTGCTAGGGACTAAAACGGACGTCGTAAAATTTGCTGAGGACCAAAAAAGGTATTTACTCAATATTTAATATGGTCCAGGACCACTGAATCTTTTGGTGCTACCTCTCACATCATTAATTTTTTCTTTCCCTTTTTATCTCTGTTATTTTCCCTCTTTTCCAATTTTACTCTCTTATTTACACTAAGGGACCACCTAAAAAATGGTGGTCCCGGTTCATAAAAAATAATCTCCTACAATAGAGGGAGTGGGGGAAAAATAAATAAAATAAAAACACTTCGTACATCTACGTTATTTAAACCAAAAAAA